TAGAGATCAAAGTATTAAACTTTAACTCCAGCGTATTAACTGAGTTAAGTTTCGTGTAGAAGCAAACTTGGTTACAATGGCTGACAACTGATATAGTCAATTAAAGTCCCCTTCTAATCAACATTTAATCGTCGATTACAGCAGAAAAGCATCGATAAGGGAATTCGAGCAAGAAGAACTACTGAGCCCTGGTTAAAACGATTTTATTGGGAAATGTTCCCTATTTTTGCTTAGTCATAAACTGACACATGAGCGCGTGAGAACAGTAAAGGTTTAGGGAATTACTAGAGGCATTCACTGAAAAAATGTCATCAAATTAAATACATAGCACAAACCTGCTGAGGTTAGACTCATAATAATTGGTTATAGTGCCCCAGTTTCTTCAGAGAAAACTCTAAAATGTACCACTTTCCTTTCACATGGAAAACAAATTTCTCTCTCCCTTTCTTACGGCTCGCTAGGTAACCACGCTCGCGTTAGCAGCCTGGCCTTCACTACCCGGAATGCTTTGCAGAGGCGCTGTAAATAAACATGGCGGCTGATAGCAGCTGATACCAAGGATGTTTTGAATATTCTGAAGTGGTGTTAAAATTTTTCTCAGACATCTGTTCCTGAAACATCCTCAGGGATGGCATTTAATGGAAATGCTCTTCGTTCGGATGGTGTAAGTGGCTCGAAGCGCTAAGCCTGGACCTTTTCAACCATGGCAGCTGACAAAGTGTTCACTACGCGAAATTTTGAGGGCGAAAGACGGGCGATACCTTTACCTATTCAGACATACTTTTGGCGGCAAACAAGGTAAATTAATGTGTTGTCTTTGAAGAAAGCATCCGCTGCGCCTTTAACAAGATGGTCTATTCGTAAGAACTCGTCAGGAAGGCCTATTTTCCCCTTGTTGATAAACAGATTTGATCGATCGATCGACTTGTCGCGCGTTGCGGCAATTAGTCAAAGCTGCATGTTCTGTAGCGATAGCTGCTTGTTCTTTTGGTTATAAGACATCCTAACTTAGTTGTTATTTGAACGTTTTCTCGAGTGGTCTGACTGTTGACTGACTATCCGAGAAACGTCATTGTTAATCCTATTTAAAGGGAGTTCTTAATCCCTGAGTCTTCTGTTGTTATCTTTGCATTGAAAAATCCAACACACCGGGTTTACCATCATCTTAATTGAGCTTAATTAACAGATGTAGGTGTAGAATTCGACGACTGTTCTGTGGATTCACGTTATACGTGAAGTTTATGTTAAAAAGCGAGGCATTTTGTATTACATTGTATCTGATGGATATAACTTGATCTTAAAAATAATCGTACAAACAACGAGTAAAAATATATAGAGGATATTACACGGTGGCAAGAAGAAATGAATTTTATGTTCGAGTGGCAAGAACTATATCTCATGAGAGTGCAGTGAACGAGTTAGATATTGTTCTTGCCATGAGAACATAAAATTCATATCTTCAAGTTAACATGTAACATTCTTTTTATTATATATAGACATACTGATGACAGTGTTTTTGATGATTTTCCGAAGATTTGCGATCACTTTCCGAAGATTTCTGAAAATTTTCCAAAATTGTTCTGAAGGCAGACAAATGTTTCTGAACATTTTCCGAACATTTCCGAACATTTTCCAAAGATTACCGAAGATTGCTGAAGATTGCCGATGATGACCGAAGAAGAATCATCCGAAGATGTTTCGATCATACACAAACAAATTTAAGTGTAGTTAAAGGGACAAGAGAAATATGTTATCAAAAATGATATCTTCACATGTGAGGATATCATATCATTTTTATCAATTTGTTACCACTCGGTATACCACTGATTTTTATATAATAAAAAGCGATACTACCCACCAAAACATCTAATAAGAGACTTATTATCCAACTGCTGTAGTTCATAAATTTATCAATGGAAGAGGGAGAGTGTGACAGTTTTGCTTGCGCACGCTGACCTGTACAACAGGTTTTCTACTGTACAAATAACTGTACAGTATCGCTGTATATTTGTACTGTTATTTGGACGGTATTCCCTGCAGTTGGATAATAAATACTGCATATTTACCATATCCTCACTAGTGAGGGTGTTGATGACGTCATTTCTCACTTTTTCATGGTTGTATGCGCAAACAGTCAGTTTGTCTATTATAATAAAAAGAAAATTACATGGTAGCTTGGAAATACATGTATGAATTATATTTTCCCATGTTAAAAACTGTGTGGCTTTACCATTTGAAAACAATATTCATATCTTTGCTCCACCATGTACATGTTTCTTTATGTATGTTTCTGGTATCTAAACTCTATTGCACACATTCTTAGATTTATTAAGATTTGATTTGGGAACTTAAAACATCAAACCTGGTACATGTACATGTACATGTATGTATGATAAAAGAGATTTACAATATAGATACAGTGATGTATCTAAAATTGAAGTGCAAATGTTTGGCTATAAATGTAAGATGTTTTTACTCAATTTTGTCTATATTAAGTACATGTAGCATATTGATTATACATGTACTATGGGTGCAGTACATTCCTCCTGTGGTCAATTAGCCCATGTTGAAAACCTTGTTAAGATCTTGGATGATCTTGGTAGATCTTGGAAGATCTTGTCAAGATCTTACCAAGTTTTTTAATCTGGGAAACCCTTTGCACAAGGTGTAATTGATGTACTAGCCTGCCCAAAATTTCTCACAAGCTTGATCTGTTACTGTACTTCTTTAATTTGAATGTCTTCAAAAAGCCTCACTTAATTTGCAAGCT